TGCTGTCAGCTTGGTGGCAAGTTTGTCTGTCCAGCCTATACATCCACAGGCCACGCCCACACTCCTAGGACAGCATGTGTCTGACTCCTGGCTTTCCACCCTGTCTGTGAAATTTTCCCACTGACCTCCTCCTCCCCTCCTTCTCCAGCACTTGTGCGTGGAGCTGGCCAAGCCAGAGTTGACCCAAATGATTGAGAAGGGTAAGGGAGGAATCCATCTGGGGAGCAGAGTGGCTGCAAACACTGGCCTTTCCCCATGACCCCTGGGAGCACCCACTCCATACCTCGCAAGGCATGGGGGTGGTAAGGAACAGAACCCAGTACTCTTGGTTCTGAAGACCTCCCAGTGAGAAACATAGATGTGTATTCTGGTCACTCAGACCAGGAGATCCCAGCATATCTGGGGACAGGGGAGGTGAGATCTCCCTTTCCAGACCACTGGCTGCAAGGACAAGCCCAGGACACAGGCACGGCCCCACTAGAGCAGGTTTAAACCCTCTACGGTCACTCCCCAAGGGGGATGGTTGGCGTAGGTGGTCATGGAGGAATGACAGAAGAGCACCCAAAGGCCAGGAGCCCAGGGGCTCTCATTTGAATCCTGGGTCAGGTCCTGACTTGCTTGGTCTATATTAGAAGCCCCACTGGCACCTTCTTCTATTCCCAAGATGCTCCATTCTGGGTTCCTGAGATGGCAGCCACCAGGCACATGTAAGTACTGAGCACTTGGAACCTGGTGACTATGACTAAGGGAGGGAACCTTACATTTTAGATCTTTTTTTTGTTGTTGTTTTGGTACCAGGGATCGAACTTGGGTCCTTGCACTTATGAGGCAGTGACACCACTGAGCTAAATCCCGCCCCCTCTTTTTTAGACAGGGTCTCACTTTATAGTTCAGGCTGGCCCTGAACTCATTATGCAGCTCAGGCTGGCCTCGAACTCTTGGCAACCCTCCTGCCTCTGCCTCCTGAGTGCTGGGATTGCAGGCATGAGCCACTATGCCCGGCTATTTTAGATAATTTTAGTTGGACTTCTGCAACCACATGTGACTGGTGGCCACCACATTGGGAAGCACGAGTCTGGTCATCTGATGACCAAGAAGCCTTGGTCTCTACTCCAGCCATGAAGGGGAGAGTGGTGCCCACAGCATTGGGTTATCATGCGGATGGATGAGACGGTTTACCTGAGGTTCGTGGGATATCATGGGAAACCCAATAAATATCCTTTCTACTGAGCCATGGTTATGTAAAGGTGTGGGGTGTTTACAGGCAAAGTGGGAAGGTGGTGATGAAAACAGCCAAAACAGAGGGATTTCCAACTGCTACCTCCATGTCAGCAGGGGTGGGGAATCACACGGTGGTTGGCAAAACTTGGAAATATTTTTTTCAATGATTTGTACATTATCATTATTTTGCTACCTCCATCTGTTTCTCATCAGAAAACCCTTAAAATGTAAAAAAGTGCTGTTTACTGGAATTTGGGGACTCTGTGGGAGGAGAATGTGCCTGCTCCACAGCCAGCCTGGAAAGGTGACCCCAAGAGCTCCCAGGGGCGAGGCAGGACATGGGGTGGAAGAGGTGGGTGGAGTCCTAATTCTGTAGTGGGGATGGAGTGCCAGAGGGAGGGCTCAGCTCAAAGAAGAGGAATGGGAGCCTCTCCAGGACAGACAGACCGACTACCTTGGGGCTTTCTGATGTGCTCACAAGTGCCGAATTCATGGGACCACAGCATTGAGCAAAGCATAGGGTCCATAGTTCTAAGGGAGAAGAAGGTGATCACAGGCAGTGCTGAGCTAGAATCCAGGGTGTCTGACAGGGAGCTGGTCTCTCCTCCACTTCTCTTTCCTCCCTGGGAACCCAGGGCCCAAAGTAGCCCTGTCTCTCTTAGTCCAGCCACAAGGGGCCTCGGAGGCAGCTGGTTGATTGGTAGAACCAGTCAGGAGGGCACCCAGAGGCTCTACAGCAGGACCCAGACATGCTCTGACACCTCATAAGCTCCTCTGGTTCAAGGGCACAGTCAGCACCTGTGAGGACCTGCTCAGAGTCAGATCTCCCCTCCAGGCGTGGGGCACCCATCCCAGGCTAAGCACTCAACAGATCTCCCTGGTCCCTGTCTCCACCTCAACACAGGCAAGGGCTCAGGACAGGCTTTTCTGACATCCAGGTACCACAGACACTGCCCAGAGCCATGGGCAGTGACATCAGTCCAAACCACCTGAGTGCCACCCCTATGACAGCCCAGAAGACTGTCCACAATGCACTCTTGGATGACACACAAGTCACCACGTAGACCTAAAGGATTCAACAATCACTGGGAACTTACTTGTCTTAGTGCCCACCTGGCTTTCCTGGCCATTAGTGCTCACCAGGCTCCTGGCCTTCAGTGACCTCCCCATGCACTGGCCTGTGGCTTCCTCATCTCTCTCAGACCCATGAGCTCCCATGTTCCCCACTCCAGCTCCTCTGGTCCTCCTTGTAGTGAAGATTCCTGCTCACTAACCAGGGCCTCCACACCATGCTCCTCCCCACAGCCCTTCTGTTCCTCCACTTCCCTCCAGTTCCTGGCTCAGCACTGATTCCTCCAGGAAGGCTCCCATGCTGGCCCTGACTCTGCCAGGGCCCTTGTCCTGGCTCCCAGCAGCTCTACCATTCCACTTTCCCAGCAGTCACCGCAGTGGGAGTTTTGTTTCTATGGGAGTGGTTCCTTGATGGATGTCTGTTTTCCCTGCTGAACTTCAGATTCCCTGAGGGCAGAGAAAGCATCCATCTTGCTCACCAGGGCATCCAAAGGCCTGGCACTTGGCCTGGCACATCCGACACATGTCTTTTAACCACTTACGGAGTGGCTTCCAATGTGTTCCCATAGAGGAAGCTCAGGGGAAGGTGCCCAGGCTGGGCAGAGGAAGGGCTTGGTGTGCATGTTCACAGAGTTGGCACCCACTCCTTGAGGCATCAAGGCAGGCAGGAAAATAACCACAGCCCCACACAGCCCTCCCGTGTTGGTCAGTGAAGATGGTAGGAAGAGTTTGCTTCTCTCCCTCTAGACACCCTCTACCTGCATTCCCCAAAAGAGCAGAAATGATAAGCCACTAAATACACAAGATCTAATAACACAAGGTCCAGCTATGGCCTATCATTAAGCCTAGTTGCCATATTATTGCATCTAATACTTCTAATAATTAGTTTGTACTTATTGAGCACTTACTATGTACCAGCCAGTATTTAAGCACACACATGAACCTCTTCAATCTCCACAATTACCCCATGAAGGAGTTATGATCATATCTCCCTTTTACAGATGAGGAAACTGAGGTACAGAGTTTTTTTTTTAATTGTTTAAGGTCTCAGCTAATAACTGGCATTTCTGAGATTCCAGTCATGGATGCCTGGTTCTATGGCCTGAGTCCTTTATGCTCTCTTTGCCCATTCTGCTTTTCCAGACAAAAACAAAAGCAAAACTGCCTTCTTTTGTGTCTTTGTGGCATGTGCCCAACGTTGGGTCCCACCCAGTAAGTGACCGGAAGCACAGCTCGATGCACACAGAGGATCTCTGCATGAGCTGCTCCAGAGCTGCCGTGCACGTTGCTGTGCTGCCTCCTTCACGTGACAGCCCTTTTGATAAAGTTGTCAGGAGCTCAGAGGCAAGGGAAAGGTGCCCTCTTCTCCTGTGGTCTCCTTTCTTTTATTGGGTAAGGATAAGTAAGTAATTTGTTAATTTTCTTTCTCTGCTTTGGCTGCCTGGAATTTCAGAGATAAACATCATAGCTTATTTCCTGAGCTTCTGCTGACCCCAGTTTTCCTCCATATTTGCTGATAAATCCTCCTATCAGTCTCTTACCACTTAAATATGTCCCCCTCCCATATACACAAACTGTTGTCAAAGTCATTCAGACCTGTGTTTAGAGTGAGCTATCCCAATGCCAGTGGTTTGGACATTATTATTTTAAAGTGCAGACTCTCTTGCTTTGTCAAGGACAAGCATGTGATCATCTTGGCCTCTACCTACACGCTGCCACCGCCCTCTGCTTCCCACCAGCCACACTCATCAAGAAGCCACCTCCCCAAACATTGCAACACTATGGCCTTTCCCTGGAGACTCCAGTTCTAGCACCCTAGGACCACAGCTATGGACTGTCTTAGTCATGTGACAGCTGAGAATTCAATGAAGGTATTGAACACCATCACCATCTCCCACCTTTTTATAAGCGTGCCCTCAAATTCCTTCTCAAGCCATCTCAACCAGCTAAAAGGTTCATGTTGAGTTTTACTTCTTGCAGGTTTATTTCCAAAATGACAGATATTTGGAGTACGTTGCACAGCTTTCTCAACTCCAAGTCTACCTCTCATCCCAAAGTGCTCTACTTCTGTAGCACATGATAACCCAGTGCCCAGTCCTGGTGCCCCTTTCTGTGGTGGCACAGCCTGGTGCTCCCCTGGGGAGCAGCCCTCCCTCCGTGTGATGCAGTCTAGGGTGACCTGCAGTGACAGTACCTCTGTCCTGGCCACAGCATAATCAGATGCCCTCCCTGGAGGTGACTTGTGAGCACAGTGTCCCTGGACCAAGCATAGTTCCTAATGACAGCAGTGCCCTAGGGGTGGCACCCATGAGCTCCTGCTTCCCAGGACTTGGAGGCTGCCCTGCTCCTTGTTCTTCTGCTTCTCTAACCCTTCCGATGCTAGTCAAGTCCCAAGCTGAATCCCAATCAATTCCTGTTTTGCCTCTAATGGTCAGGTTGGATTCTGTGGCTCACAACCTAAGAACCCTAACTGATACACAACCCCTTCCATTACAAATAATCTACCTGGATTATTGGTCTAGAGAAGACAGTCTAGAGAGGCATGCAGATGTAATAAGCAAATGCCTGCCATGGGATTGTAGAGTATTTTGTTATGCAGCATTATTCTGGCCATAGCTGACTGATACAGATTTGTCAAGACTTCTGTTTACTCTCAGCCTCAAAGTGTTGAGAGAGCCATCGTGGCTGTAAAGTGGATACAGGCCTACCTGCCACCTTGACCTGGTTGGGGGCACAGGTTCTGCAGGGCAGCACCTGGAACTCTTCTGCTTGGTACATGGAGTAGTCGGTGCTAGCAACCACAAGGGTGTCTCCGGGCTTCCAGGACCGCACATTATCCTCCAGAGTCAGAACAGTGCTATTCACATTGGTGTCGATGGTGACTGTGAGCTTGGGCCGCACTGTAACCAAAACAGGAAGGACTGAGACACAGACCTTTGCTGGGCAAACTCCTGGCAGTTCACATCTTCCCTTCTCCCTCCTGAATAAGCAAATGCCAGGTTTGCCAGTCCAAACCCCAAATCACCAGCTCCCTCCATCTGTCTTGGTGCAAGGTTTTGAAGTCAACAAAAATCCAACCAGAAAAGAGCCATTCATTCGCTCTGGGCAGGGAATTTTCCACTAACTTCTTAGGGGAGTTAAATGTGGTTGCCTCACCACACCCACTTTGCTCAAGATATAAAACAAATATAGTTCCTCTCAACTATTATTTACAGCAACTGTAAGCCTCTCCCCTGCAGAAGTCCTGACCCTAATGACCGTCCTCTAGAGATGGCTGAGTCCTCCCAGAGCAAACCAACCACTCCCATTCCCTCTAACCAGCACCTTGGGACTGAGTTTGGAATCACAGCACCCAGAGAGACAAATAGTGGTGCATTCCTGCAGGAGGGTGTGGGGGGCCTGTGCTGTCCATCTGCACCCAGCTGTCCTGGAGCCAGTGCCTCCCCCTTCCTGAAAGGCCTGTGGGCAGGGTGGAGCTGAGCAGATAGCTCCGAAGCCCCCTCCCCTGCCCTGTATCACACAAGTGTGCCATCCACCCGGGCACAGTGGAGCACTGCCATCCACACCCACACTGTGCAGGGAAGAGGGCCGCTCACCAGGCTTCCCGCAGAGGAAGCGCACACGGTAGTTTTGACAGGCGCGGCCTCGGTTGTAGCAGGCAAACTTGTAATCCTGGCCCCTTTTGTAGACAACCTCAGTGCTGAGGTTGACTCCGTCCATTGTAGTGGCCTGGAAGGGGCACAGAAATTACAGAGCAAAATCATTTTCCTCATCATACAGAAAGAGGATGATGATTAATGTTCTCAATATTTAAAGGGCTAAAATTATCTTTGCTGCAAAACTATTTACAGAGGGCCAATGTGATTGTCCCAGCTACCCAAAGGAGTTTTGCTACCCAAGAGCAGCATGATGTCTCTGAATGGACAAAGGCCTTTCCCGGGCCCTGCACAGCCCAATATTCACACCAGGGATGTTTCATTGCACACTGCAGTGGATGCTCAGAATCCAGCCTGGCTACCACCACCGCCGTGCACCAGGCAGGACTTCATCTGCTGAGGACTCACTGTGCTCGATCCCGTGCTGCCCAGTCAGGCTCCCACATCACACGGGAGGCCCAGGCTCTGTCCTAGGACACTCACGTTCAGTTGTGGGTGTCGGGGTGTTTAGAAGCTGCCCTGGTGATTCTAATGGAAGAACACTGTTGGGGTTCAGGACCCAAGTGTCTACATATACCTCGTTTGATTTTCACAGCAAAACCAAGAGGCTGTTGTTGGTGAGGCCGATGAGGAGGACGACAGGTAGAGAGGCAGAGTGATAAAGCCATTAAGTGACAGTGCAACCTGAACCCAGTTGAAGCTAGTTGAAGCCCAGTTGAAGGCCAGGGCTTCTGAACCTCCCCCCACTGCACCCTTAAAGCCCCCATCCTGCTGTCCATTGCTCAAAGGCTGGTCCCTGCCCATGGCAGGGGTTCTGGGGGGCGAGAGCAGATTTTCCCTGTCTCTCTGGCCCCAGGGCCTGGCACAGACTGGGTTTCAGTCAAGGGCTGATGAGGAGGAAGCTATGCGGCCAGGTGGGGCATCTAGGACACACTCACAGGAAGGCTGGACCCTGCCAGCCAGGTCACCTCTGCCAGGTGTGTCTGCTTCAAGTCTGAGCTTGCCACTCAGAGACGCAGGTTACAGAGAGGCCACAGCTGCTGTCATCTTTGACACAGAAACCAAAGGGACCAGGGTTGAGGGATAGAGGAGAAAGTGAAGCTAACCTTTAAAAAAGAGGCAGAGACTTCTTAGGAAACATTGTTTAGACCCAGGAAATATTTTGCCTTGAGGATCACACAGCTGTGTGTAGTGCAAATTCACAGCTAAAATTGAGGCCTTTCTTGCAAGCAACACACTCACAGAAATTATCATGGGGCATCTCCACAGAGCCAGGGACAGGGCTATAATCTGGCTTTTAGAGGAAACCACTAAGGCTCCACAGGGCTCAGACCCAATCTCAAAGACCACCTGACCCCCTGACCCAGACCCTAACATATGGAGAACCTGGCCTGAAACATCACCAGGGAAGCTGGGCGTTTTCTAAGGTACAACAACAATTTCAAGGGAGCAATTCTGCTTTTCTTTTTTCCCTACCTGAAGAACAACCCTAGTGTTGGACAAGAATAAAAAAGAATCTATTACCAGCCAGGTGTGGTGGCACATGCCTGAGATCCCAGCACTTGAGAGGCTGAGGCAGGAGGATCACTGTGAGTTTGAGGGCTATGTAGTTAGTTCAAGGTTAGCCTGAATTACATAGTGAGACACTGACTTAGAAAACCAAGACAAACAAACAAACAAAAAGTACTCTATCACCATTCAGTGAAATGGATCTTCAGTTTAAGTGGACATAAATGTATTGTTATTGAGGCTAATAATAATAAAACAAAAATATTATTATAACAAAAAATCAATAAAACCAATTTCAAATCAAGAGCATTCTCCACAGCTCAGGCACTTCATGAACTGTTGCATTAATTCACAGAAGATTCTCAGGAGGGAACAATTATTATCCCTATTTTTGCTAGTGAGGAAACTAAGGCACAGTGTTAAAGAATAGGGCCAGGCATGTGAGAAAGTCATCCAGGGCACCATGTTTAAGGTGACACTCCTCCCAGGGCCATGCAAGTGCAGAATGGGCATTTGAAAGGCAGTACCCCCTTAAGTACAGCACCTGGGCATCTGGTGGGCAGGGTCTGAAGTCCAAGTAAGTTGATCTCTCTGGCTTCCAGCCCCATTCTTCTGAACCCTAGCTTAACCTCTAGCCCCTGCACCACTGCTGTGAGGAAACAAGCCACCTGAGATGCGCCCACCCCATCCCAGAAGTCCAGCCTTGGCTGGGAGGCAAGGAGGTCTTCAGCCAAGGAGAACAGAAAGAAGGGCAAAGACGTGGAAACAGTGGATATGTTTTAGGGTTTTTAAAAATTTTGTTTTGTTTTTTGTTTGTTTAGTTTTCTTTTGCAAAAACACAAGATATCAGATCTTAGAAAGGTTTCCTTGAAGTCATCTGGGCCAGGCCAGCTGCTTTAGGCTGCCTCCTCCAAGGCCCCGGACATCCCTCCAGACAGGGTATGTCTGTGCATGTGCCCAAGGCATCCTAGCAACCCGCTGTGTGTATAGCACAGTGCCAGGCCTTGGGGCAGCCACAGCATGGAGTGTGGCACAGCTGTGGGCTGAGGGGAGGCAAGCTGGTTTCCCAGAGGGGCTAGAATGGACACAGGAAGTCCATTTCCCCTCTATCTTTCCTATGGAGCCCTGCTTCTGTTCAAAGTCACCTTCAGTGAGCAACAGGCAGAACAAAGCTGGCTTCCCTTTCCCAGCCTCAGAGATGACCAGGTGAGGAGTACACTGTACATTGCCACTTTCACCCACTGTGAGTGAGAGGAGATGCTCTGGTACTGGGTCCTGGGGACCACAGACCACCAGTGAGGAGCCAGCACACTGACCTCCAGGCAGCACTTCCTCCTTGGCTCTAGAGATGGAGTCTGGACTAATCTCTGCAGGCACAGGCCTTAGGCTATTAGCTGACTGCCTTCTACAGGTTTTTGCTGAGACAAAGCAAAGATCCCATTATGGGATTTGGAATTTGAATTAATGAGGGGCTACAATGCTAGGCAGAATATTTTTCAGAGAACAAAGCCACTCACTTTGGGAAAGCTGGCACAAGTCTTGGGTATGGGGAAAACTATTGCTTGGTCTTTTATTCTCCTTTGGACCACAAATGGTCGAGAACTTGAACCTAGGGGATGCTTTGTTAAGGATGTTCTTTTTCGGGGGAGAAACTGTGGCATGGCTGCACATGGGGTGACAGGGAGTGGTGTGGATCACCAAGGAAGTCTGGTGTATGTGCTCTCAGTCTAAGTTAACAGAGCTCTGGGTCCCATGAGTGCACTGGGAGCGGAGCAAAGGCTGGAGTAGGAGCTGTTCACATGCTGCAGAGAAGTCACCCTCAATCAGCAGTGGCCTGGAGTCAGGCAGCTGGCACAGCAAACTCCAGCAGGGATCTGGACACCAGAGAAGCATTCCTGAAGGATTTTCAGAAATATCTTGAGAGGGGAGGCTGGTAAGGGACTAAACATCCCATGGTACAGGGCATGGAAGAGATAAGATTATGGTTATTTCAGAATTAAGACTGGAATGCTCAAGAGTGCAGGAGAAAAGCTCAATTAAATTTGGGAAGTCTGTGCTTTGGGAGAGTGATTGCCTCTTGATCCTTTTAGACCCAAGAAGAGCCTGCAACTTGCAGCCTAATCTAGGCAAATCCTTCTTCATAACTGTGGAGCTGTGGGAAAGGAAGAGCCTGAGCCAGGTAATGAGCCAGGTTTCCTTGGCCTTCATTCAGTGCAGGACGGAGTCCCGGCCAAGATGCCCTCATCTTGCTTCAGTGCAAGTGGAGGTCAAAGACCTGTCCATGACAGTGTGGAAGGCTCAGGACACAGTCAGACCACCCGCTGAGGTGACCTGGAGGAAATGCTGACAAATGCTGGTCACTGGTCTTGCCCCTTGGTGTCCCTGGGGAACTCCCAGGATTCCCCATGAGAACTAAAGTCTGCCCACACTCAGGTCCTTTGTATCAAAGGATGGAATTTAAATATCACCTACACACACCCTCCTGTGTGTTCAGTCATCCCCAGATAACTTACAATCTGTGTAGTTGGTAAACTGTGTTGTTCAGGGAACAATGACAAGAAGGAAAAATCTACACGTGTTCGGTACAGACGCAATTATTTCCCAAATATTTTTGCTCCCCGGGTGGCTGAATCCTTGGATGTGAGGCCTGCAGGCTCAAAGATCCAACTGTGTTTTTGTTGACTGGAAAAGGATAAAATGGACAGAACTAATCTTTCTCAAATGACTTCTAATCTAGATCAAGTATTAAAATGGCCTTAAAACTTGTTTTGGTACAAGACCAGGTGTAAGGAAATAAACCCTGTTTACCTAGCCCACGGCCCCTGGCTTTCCTGTTATCTGAACAGCCCTGGTTTCCACCTACTGAGCTGCTGAATTTTGATGCCTGAGCATCAAGACAACACTCTTGATGGAGACACCGGTGAAGGTCGAGCTGTTCTTGGGACAGAATGAACTCCAGGTGAGGATCCTGAGCAACACATTGCCCATTCTTTGAATGCTTTTATTTCACTCCATGGCAAACATGGCTGGGCTCAGCCTTCACCCTAAGTTCTAGCCACAATATGTGAGCTCAGGTGCCTAAAGAAAGCCAGCCAAGAAGTGGGCAGGTTAAGGCAGCCCTGACCTGGGCCCCCTCAGCCACAACTGCAGTAGCAGGTGAAGGAGAAACAACACACCCAGGAAAGAACTGAGTCTTAGCTTTGGGCATGCACTGAGCCTCCTGATACTGACTCACCTGCGCCATAGGGAGGAGAGCCAAGAGACTCATGCTGCACGGGGTCCAAGGAATTTTTTTTTATCTATAGCATCTCCTTCATAATAAAGCCTCCCTAAGGATTGTTTGCTGGCAATTTGGTACCTGTATGTCAAGGGGGCGGTTGCAGATTTTTCCTGGGTAAGTTACCCAGAGGTCTGAAATTTTCTCCCCGCCTTTAGTCTGAGACACTTTATCATGGTTGAACCACTCCGTCCACTCCACATCTAGGCAGAAAACAAAGACAGGGTCAGGTGTCTGTCCATGGTTGCAGCAGCAGAGGCAAAGGTGCTTCTAAATTACCTGCAAATTCTCCCATCTTATCTGCCTTTTCATTAAACACTTCCTATCAAATTTTTTTTTCATTAAGGCAATATATAGTTTTATGATTATAAAACCAAATAAACGCAAAGGAAAAAACCCATCTGTAAGCTCATCATCCAAGAACTGCTGCTAGATGTGCTGCCTTCTGCACACCATGGGAGGCTCTGTGACAGGCAGGTTCTGTCCAGGTCTGTGCCTTGGTCAGTACCATCACCTGCCATGAAACAGCATTCTATGAACTAAACTAAATGTCATGGACCCATATGGACAAGAAACTCCAACCTTGACCATCCTTTTGGCCCATTCCCCAGTGTGGTTTGATTAATTAAAGACAGTGTACAGTTGTAAATTTCTAGTTGAGTCCATGACAGTTAAGTTTTCCTATTTCTGTAAGGAAAACGCTGTTCTGTGTAACTGGTGGTTCCTGGCATTCATCACCCTTAGGGTCTTGGGACGTCCACAGCTTCTTACCCTGGACCCATTCACTGGATGAGGAGACATTGAAGTACTCGCCATGTTCCGTCCGGAAGAGTTTAAACACCCGGGCAGCCGCGGAGCCAAGGTGTCCTGTCAGAGAGCCAACCAGGAAGACCCTGATTCAAATGGTGGGGTTCCAAGGCAGGGAAACCCCTATGCCCATTGGTCAGCAACCATTTCTTTAAAAAGAAGCTTTTTCCATTAGCCAGAGCTTTCTTTTCATTTGGAATGTGGATTATTATTTATTCTTTTGTTTCTATTCTGAAAGGTCAGACACAAGTCCCAGAAAACCCAGGTTTGGAGCCCACCTTTCTTCATAGTCTGAATCCCTCCCTGGGTTGCCTTCATCAGCACCCCCCCCCACCACAGCTGGACAGAGGAGACTGCTACCATGTGTCTCAAGCCATATCCAGGTCTCACAAGCTCAACATCTTGGCCCTGCTGCCTCCCTTCCAGCTCCTGTCTTTTCTGTGCCACAGCTGTGTTTTAGAATGAGTCAATGAAGACTTCTTTGGAAATGGAAATGTAATCGTGTGTGACTGACCTGCAGTCAGCGTGGACCATTGCCACTTTCAATTAATGTGGCCAGCGGCTGGTCACTCCACTGGGTGGTGGCAGCTGGGCGGCTGGGCTGAGGGAAAGACCTGGGCTCAGAAAGACTCAGGGCCTCTAGGGTACAAACATGCTGGAGAGACCCAAGGCTCACACCAACCATAGATTACCGTGATAGTCAATGTGGTCTTCCACCGAAGAAGAAGGATTTCCCTTCACAGTGAGAAAACTCCAAGGATGTCTGAAAGTAACAAAAAGCAAAGTTCTTCAGGTGTCTGAACATTCCCCAGGGCAGAGCTGCACGTGGGTCCATGACTGGGCCTCCTCCCTGCAACTGGACTTCCCCAATGACAAATGGGGCTTCCCTGCCCCCTAAACCAGTGGTCTTTCTTTGCAAGTGCCATCTGAGTCTCCTCGCTACCTGGGTAGCCCAATTCCTCTAATCCTGATTCTCTTCACCTCCATGCTGTCAGTAGACTGGGCATGAATCAAAACTAAATAAACACCCAACAGTCCAAGCATGCCACCCACCAAGCTGTGTTACATCCTGCAGTAAGGGCTGAGTCCCTCAGGAAAGCGTATTCCAAGGGGAGAGCTAACTTCTGTCCTTCCCACCTCCCCTAAGAGTGGAGCTCCAGGAAAATGTCACAGGCTAATGGGACAGAGTGGATACCTAGCCATCGGCCTCAGGCCTTGAAAGACAAAAGGCAATCTCTTCCTCACAAACAGGAGGGAAGGAGAAAAAGAAGGTTGCATTTTGGCAAGCAAAGCTTTGCCCTTTCCTCCATCAGGGCTCAGGGCTGGGGAGGGATGGCTTCCTTGCTGTCTTTGTCATCCCCATGGGCCCAACTGATGGGGCTCAGTCCACGCTACCCCAAGACAATTAAATCATTAAATGTTCCAGGCTGAGAAATAGCAGCAAGGAACAACCTCTGACCTTCCCCACCCTGCTTCCCAGAAGCAGGTCACAGCCCCTCATGTCAGAGGTGCCCTTCCTGTGCTCAGAAGAAGGGAGCATTGCTACCGCTGAAGACAGGGGGACCCCGTGGGGAGAAGGCACAGCCAGGCCTTGCCAAGAAGACCCAAAGCTTGCTGGGCTCCACCCAGCACAATCTCCGTGTTAAATCTCTGTGTTAAAGACACCATTCAGTCCTTCACTTTCCAGTTTGTTTGTTATAGGGTCCCGGTCAAGAGCTTAGATGGGAAGAAGGAAAGGCATTTCCCCCTGTATCTCCATTAGCCATTTAAGTGCCAGGTGGCTTTTGACACTTTTGTTCAGATCGCTTGTCTTGGAGAGTAGGTCACTGATGAGTGTTCACTGAGGTCGAGGATTCAGCCCTGGCACCCTCTCCCTTCAATCTTCCGTGGTTCCCCATGGCCAGCACGCCCTCCTGCACCCTCCTCCTGGCCTTGCTTCTCAGTCCTCACCCTTCCCCATGCTGTGCAGCTGCCTGGACTGTCCCTCCTCTTTCGGACAGCCACACTTCCTCCTGGGCCTCTCCCTGGGCAGCCTGCCTTGCCTTGCTCTCCATGAAGAGTCTGTACTAAACTCCACGTGTGCTCTGTCTTGCTCTCCCATGTGCCATCACCGGTGCCCACCAGCTTCTGCCCTCTCACGAGAGCTCACACACCTGGTCTAGCCCAGTGCCTCCCACCAGTCTCTGCTCCATAACCAGCTCCCAAGGAAATGGACCAGGGATGAATTCAAGTTTTAGTGCTCCTACTGACTGTGGATACCTTGAACTGGCCACCCAAAGTGCATCACCACACAGAGCAGGGCAAAGTGTGGAATCCCTACCTGGCTTACCCATGTGGCTGGCCATAACTGAACACGGCCGGAACCTGCCATCCTTCCTTTGGCTCTCATTTATAAGGAGAAAGTAGGGCTAACATTTACAGAGCACTTATTCTGTGCTAGACAGGATGACTGGTATTTTGCCTGTATCATCACTGTGATTCTCCTCAGGGTCTTGAGATAGCCCCTTTGGCACACGTAGGGTCCGTGCAGCGAGACAACGAATTACTTGCCTGCAGTGACATCTTTGTGGAGGAGCAGTTTAGACACACATCTAGGCCATCAGATGCCAGACTTTGGTCTTAGTCATTGTTGTCTTCTGCTGAGGCTCCAAGCTGCCAGTCCCTTATAGTTTTTATCTCTCATTGCAAATTAAAAAACTGGTGTTGAGTTTATAAGACAACAACTTGGAAGTGCTTAAGGCTTGCTAAGGAAAGAGCCTTGCCATGCCAAGATAGCACTGCCATCTTTGGCTGGGTGAGCTTCCTGCTGAGTCCTCTTCCGGCAGGAGCAGCCCTGGGCTGTCAGAGGACGCACCCTCGAAGTCGAACATCTCTCTTGCCCAGGAGCCTCCGCCCAGCTAGTAGAGTCACTGTGCTCTGAGACTAAAAAGAGCTCTCACCTCCTCCCATCTTGCCCGAGATCTGGAAAGCCAATGGGAGGGACATCGTAGGCTCCTAATGGCCATGGGAGAGGTAAGCTTGACTTTGAACTGACCTGAGCCTGGATTCCACGGGATAAAAAAGTGTGGTTACTACAGCAGGGCAAACAGCCTCCTCTCAGTGCCAACCTGTGTGCCCCAAGGTCAGGCATGATGCTACAGTTCAAAGCAAATAAAACCTACACAGGAGAATATCAAAAGGCCTCTTTTCCTTGGATGTTTGGCTAAGCAGAGATACTTTGCATAATCCTTTTAAAAACTGCCTGCCAATCCCCAAGGCATGACATGAGTGTCTTGCCAAGGAAAGAAAAATTGAACATTAACTACATCCACAGCATGGCTCTCACACACAGCACACACTCAGAGCTTTGTGGCTGACAGACTAAATGAATCCATATAAACAGAGCCCTTTTGAGTTTAAAAGTGGTGCTGTGCTTGATAAAAAAAAAAAAAAAAAAAGCAGGCTCCCTCTAAGCACAAGCCCCAGTATGTCCAGTGCAAACAGGTAATGTGCCTGCATCCCAGGCTCACCATTTAAGGTAGAGTAGCTCAGGGGACATGAGAAAGGTTAGTTCTGGGTAGCACCCGATAGAGAGACAGAAGGAAGGATGGCTGGTACCTAAATCCAAGGTGCAGGAAGTGTTTGCTGCCTAGCTTGGTCATAGCTTTCCGGGCCAGGTCATCCAGGTTTCGGGAGCCTTCATCATTCACTGCCACAGAAAGGATTCTGCCGTCAGGAACCGCATTCAAATACTGGGCCAGACGCTCACTCTCTTTCTTGGATCTGTAGGTATCAAATCTGAGAAGGGCAGAAGGAGGGGGCTTTGGGTAGTCTCAACAGCAGCCCAAAAGAGATCTGAACAGGGATCTGTGTTGCAAAACTAATATGCCATCCAAAGATCCCACAGTCTGGGTTTCTAAACAAAGAAGCCTTTTATTTAGAGAGCAAGGGAGTATGGGAACTTTGTACACCATACAGTAGTATCCAAGAAGGACCTGACCTGACCACCTTGATAATTCATTGGTGAGTTGCCCAAGACATGACGATAGCAACAGCAAAGACCTCGAGCTCTGGGATGCTGAGCAGTCACATCCTTAGGGTCTGGTTGCCTCCCCTTATCCAGATACCTCATTCATGGGGATTTCCATCTCTGCCGAAGACTGAAACATTTCTCCAAATTCTTGAAAATGAAACGGAGACGATCTCCCATCATGCCTCCTATCCCTAGAGCAGCCTGATTATAGTAATACATTTGAGTCATGGAAATGTCATTGCTGACGTACACAATAGCAGTGGCAGAACCCTTAAGGGTTATAAGTATTGTTGCATTCCTTCCTTTTCCTGTTTATCCCTTTGTAAAAAATCATTTTACTACATTGTGGTAAGAATTCTTATCATGAAGTTGGCCTTTTAATAAAATTTTAAGTGTACAATAAATTATGGTTGACTACAGGTATGGTGTTATCCAACACATCTCTGTGGTAAGAATGCATCATCTTTAGCTACAGTTTTTTAATTTGTTGGTTTTTGTTTTTGAGACAGGGCTCACTATGCTGCCTAGGCTGGCCCCAAACTCTTGGGCTCAAGTGATCCTTCTGACTCAGTCTCTGGAGTAGCTGGGATGACAGGCGTAAGGTAAGAACAGATCATCTCAAAGTTGACAAAGACAACCCTCTCTTATACAGTATATATAAAATATGTAGAAAGTACAGATTTTTTAAAAAAAACTATACTACCATTGGGAAGAATTTACAAAGGAAAGATAATTTAGTAACAATCCCAACTCAGTCACATAAATATAAAGGTTTTGTGCAATTGCGATGGAAACAATGTGCCTTGGAATGTACAGCAACATAGCTCTAAAATGAATTTGGAAAAACCAGCCAGTGCAAATGGCCAAGGAGACCTTAAAAAAAGAAAAACAGAGGTGGTGTGAGTGGTAGCTGGAGAGGTGCTCTGGATACCTGCTCCTGGGTTGCCAAACTTGTTTAAACTCTTGGCCTAACCAGGCCCAATCCTGCCTTGTTCCTGTCCTTGCAGTCCCCAGGGCCCACCTGCCTCGAGGCTGGCCCTTCTCAAAGACCTTTGACCATGTCACGTACCTGCTGCTATTATGCTCACTCAGCCCCGTCTTTTCCCAGCTGATCGAATTCCTCCTGCTTTTCCAGAGTGACCAGGTGCACATGTGTCAGATAATGTATTTGCTTACATGCTCAGCTATCAGATGACACAGCAAAGCCAAGGAGCCTTGGATGAAGCAGGCATCCCCTCTCCATAACCTCCCCCAGCAGCTTCCAGGTGGCCTCTCCTTTCTCAGTGCAGTGACTCATCTATCGGGAGCCGCACAGCTGCAAGGAGCAGCACTGTACCTAATGAGGAATCAGCCCCAAGGAATCAGCCCCAAGGAATCAGCCTGTGACTGATGGGTTCCCTGTGAACTACACTCGTCCTGCTTCATCCCACAGCTCAGACTTGCTCTGCCAGCCACTACACAGGGTTGTCACCAGGAGGCAACACAGATCTGGGCTTCTGTTGCAGCTCCAGCCCTCACCAACCTAAGACTCAGGGCATAGGAGACTCATCCACAGAATGTAGTGCTAAAAGACTGTTTGTGAAGATTAAATCACATGTGGGGTAAAGTGGTGAGGACAGAGCATTTCACAGATAGCGTGCACTGGCTGCACTGTGACCAGTACTGACCCAGGGTCATGTCAGCTGCCCTGTGTCCCAGTGGGTGCCCTCTGCCTTTGCCTACTGCTTGGAGCATTTCTCCCTAAGTACCTCAGGAGCACTGGCTCTGCTTGTCCACTGGCTGAGTCCTGCTGGGAACCTTTCCCTTGGCACTAGGACAGCTGTCTCCCACTGTCTTTCCTCCCTTGTTACGAATGATCACAATCTGAATCAAGAGTACACATGTCCGTACATCCTTGTTAAATTCAGCATCCTTAGACAAGTGCTTTGAGACAACCCCATTACAGTGCCTGGTTGGGACATAGGCTCGGTGTGCTGGTGCTGGAGGAAGGTATGTATGTATAAGTGAAGGGCACCTTACCGGTCAGAGTGGATCACTGTGGCAGATTTGGGGTCAATGACATGGACAATGACTCCACGGTGGCCCCAGCTCCTTTCAAAAAAATAGCCTCCCTCCTCCATGCCCCCCGGGCGGAGGGTCTTCCTCAGAAATGTCCAGGAGAGCTTCTTCTGCCCATGCAACTCCAGGGTGCCACCCCTGCCCACACCAATGTACTTCAGCCCATAGTAAGGGTCTGGCTCAATGTCTTCATCAGCTCTGCAAGAGAAAAGCTCCAAGTTGCGGGCATAGCTCCTTGCTGGATGTGGCCCCACAGAGAACAGCCCACTGATCCTAAGCAGCTGGCCATGCTTGGTGACAGCTTAGTAAATATAGCACTGGCACCCAACCTCCCTATGCCAGGCCAATGGGAGGCTCAAGAGGCCAGCAAAAGCACCGGTGAGTTTGCAGGTTGCTGCTTCCCCTTTTCAGGTCTGAGTCTTGTATTCTAGTCCATTCCAGTGTGGGGTCACTTGTACCTACACTGCTAGACCTGCACATTATTGGTTACTGCTGCTTAGAACTCTGCCCAGCCAGAGGCAGTTACCTTGTGTTTTCCTATACCTTGCCCATCATAACTTAGATGCACAACCATGGCATGAGTGGGAGGTGGTGGAAGTCTGACAGAGACCTTGGTGACACAGTGAGACACCAGGGCCATGGTAAATAAGATCCCTCATGGACTTGTTCACCTTACCCCGTCACTGAGTCTGTTTCATTCCCCATCACCTTCTGGCAGGACAGAATGATGCCTCCTGCCTTATGCTGGAGTCTGGCTCTCTTGTCTCTCTCTCTGCTCTGCCTCCCCCCATCAGATTCAAGAGCAGCATCTTCTCCCGCCAGGGGTTGGTTTTCCCACCTTCCATACAGAATGATGCTGAAATTGCCCTGGAAAGGGCAGAGGGCGCTCCCAGCATGCAGCTCTCCTCCGTGGTCAATCAGGATGTGTCGGGTGCGCAAAACAATGGGCTCCCCATGGTCCTTAATGATGAGCTTGCCTGAAGAGGGAGGAGCAACGGGATGAGGCTTAGGAACACAGCGTGAGAGGAAGGTTGCAAAGGACCCTCGGCAGACTTCCCAAGCCCCCAACTCAGCCAAGCAGGTGAAAAGGTATTTCTTCCAAAGGCTTCTATGCTCACTATCTGACAAGTGATTACTTTTCTCTTGTCTCCACTTTGCAATGTGCATATAGTGCCCAACCAGCTCATAGCTGTCCCTGCCATAACTCAATGACCAAACATCTGCAGGTGAGAGGGCAGGACCTCTCAGGGCACTAATACAGAACTTTCCTTGCTCATTTTACCAAGACCCGATCAGCACTAGTCATTCCTAAGTGCTCACCTAAGAGTTGATTGGTTATCACAAAAACCCTGGGGCTCTGAATCAAACCCAAAGCATGCAACAATCATTCCATCTAAGGACACAGCAACTTGCATGCACCCTCTGTGAGGCTCTAGGGAGGGTAGACACCAGCTTACCCCCCTCTGAGATGTTGATGGAGTGAACGGTGGCAGAGGAGGCAAGCAGCAGCATCCTGCCCTGTCTAATGTGCACATGGTGGTCCGGATCATGGCCAGGATTCCAGGGCTGCAGCTCAGGGTTCTGGTCAGGGCACTTAGCAGCCACTGCCAAAGGAAAAGAGATGTCACTGCCCCCATCCACTGGCATCATCAAGCAAAGACTGACCGCAAGGTGGGGAGGATGTTTTACATCTTTATGGCCCCTGTCTGTACTGGAGCCCAAAGCAAGACCATAGTGATGAGAGGCAACTTGACCTAGAAAGCCTGAGCCTAGGGGTGTAGTCTTGTATCTCTCATTATTTTGCTATGAGTCTGTGAGCAAGTCATTTCCCTTTCCTGAGTTCAGTGCTCCCCTTTACAAGATGCAGGGTAGATCAGATGACCACCCAGGATCTTCGCAGATCTGAAGTTATGCAAGCATTTGCCCAAATTGCTTGAGTTTCAAGATAGTATGCCCTCAGGGAAACAGTGTTTACAGGGAAGTAACAAAACTTTTTCCTCTTTTGCATGAGAATTTGGTTAATTTTCTAGCTCTGTTCTTAGAAACTGAGAAAGACAGTTCTCTATAAACTAGGCTAGCAAGCATCATGGCTTATAAGAAAAGTGAACCCTCAACTGGTAAATGGTCCTTAAGGGAGGAGTTATGAGTATTTTATTTTCATGACTGGTGGAGATGTGATGTTGTGGGCATACCTGCAGGCACTGAAACATGTCCTTTGCAGGGATGCTGAATGACAAATAAGGAGTTGCTATGAGAGATACTGGTTTTGCTGGGGCATGAGGCTACTAAGCCAGGGTGGTTCCAGTGACAATCTTATCTCCCCACAACCCTTGAGCCGTTGCTTGGGGGACCAAAGAGCACAGCTGGATGGCTATATGGACACTGCCACCTCATGAGGGAGAAACACCAGCTGTCCCTGTTAGAAGTCTGTGTTCCTGTCCTGCCCTATGAGGGTCAAATTCAAAGGTGGCAGGTGGCTGCCTAGAAGGCTCCAGGGTAGGTGCAGCTTCTCTTTCCTGCCAGAAGCACTGGGAGACATCTGCATCTTCCTGGGGGCTAACAAGGCTGTGCTCCAGCAGTGAGGCCAGTGGGGGTGGGGGTGGAACTTGTCTTACAACCTGGAGGTAGCTCTATAGATAGCAAGGAGGGTTCCAGAAGGGAGGAAGTCAGGCAGAACAGGCAAGGCAAGGTGAGCATGGGTGGACTCACTCTCCCGTCTTCTATAACTGGGAGATTTCAGGATAATCTGGTGGGGTACTATCTTAGTTATTTTCCTCATCACTGGGACAAAATACATGACATCTGCAAATTAAAGGAGAAGAGATTTATTTTGCCCCATGTTTTAGAAGCTTCAGTCCCTGAATGGTTGGTGGCAGGATAGAAGGGACTGGGTAGAGAAAACCTGCTCACCTATGGCAGCCAGGAAGAAGGGAGAGAAGAGAGAAACTTGGGAGGGAGGTACACTCTTCCACGTCATGTTCCTAGTGACCTCCCTCTTCCTACCAGGCCCCACCTCCTACCAGTACTTGTAGTTATAAACTCATCAGTGGACTAATTCATTGATCAGTACAGCACCCCTAGGGTCCAATCACCTTTCACAAATCCCTGCCTCTGAGTACCTAAGGACATCTAGATTAATCCATATAGGTAGTTGATGGGCAGTCAGCGCATTGCAAGGCCAGGGGAAGATGGTGCAAGAAGGAACAGAAGCCAGGCCCATAGCACCAGGCTGAACAAGGGGCTGAGGAGAGATTGGGTCCTTCAGGTACAATGACTGCATGAGCCACATGCATCCCAAAGGGGCTCTGGTTTCTCTGTCTTTTCTTCAGTTGTTGGGAGTATGCCATCGCTGACATATTTATGTATCAGGGCCACAAGGGAGTCACCCTTTTTGAGCTCCACAACACCAGCAGGGTTCCCCAAGTCCACAATAGCCCATGGTTGTTGCCTGTATGAAGCAAAGCACAGTATAAACACTATGCATGGTTGCAGAGCCCTACCCCATCATACTTACCCACCCACAGGTGGCTGATCCCTATGCTTGTCTGTTATAATTCAAGTCAAGAATGTTCCCAAATGTCTCATACACTCAGATGTGGTGCTTTGGGGGAAATTATTGATTATAGGAACATTATAACTCACTCACTGTTGGAAGGTAGAATCTGGTTAGAAGAGCTGGTCACTGAGGGTATGATCTGCAAGGGTATATCTCTCTCCCCAGTTCCTTCCTTCACTCTCTGCTTCCTGAACACCATGGTATGAGTAGCTATCCTCCACCTAGGTCCTTACACCATGTTGCCTCTGCTTTGGAGCCAGCCATGAGCCAAAATAAACCTCTCCTTAAGTTGTGGGTGTTGGGGATTGTGTCTCAGCAGTGAGAAGGTGACTGTGATATATTTTGTTACCAAAGAAGTAGGGTCATTGCTGCAGATGATACCTGATCATGTGGCTTCATAGGAGGAGTTTGGAAACATTTGGAGATGCTACAGAAACCCTAAATTCTGTAAAATTGATAGAAGATTCTGGTTGGAGCTCAGAAGACCAGAATGCTGACAGGAATGCAGATAGTAAAGACCAGGCTCAGGAGGTTTCAGCTGTGTCACCCCATTAGCAATTAGAATTGAGACCATGTATGTTATTCTCTGGCCAAAAAAAACAAAGGTGTCTATACAGTATTTTTCTGAGGTTCTGAGACTTTGCAGGAGACTTAAATTAAAGATAGTAAACTAATAATCTGGTGGAGGAAATTTCACAACAGCTCAATGTTCAGGCTGTAGCATGGATACCATTTGCTGCTTAAAAGTTAAAGCAAGATCTACATTGAAAATTGGGAGCAAAAAGTTCATTTGAATAGTTTTCAGTTTCCCCAGAAAGGGGCTACAGAGTTTTGGCAGAGGAGAGTTTGACTGCTGAAAAGATTAGCATTTAAAAATGTCAAGTATGTTGCATCAGGACAATAGGAAGGATGCCTTGACAGCACTGCAAGAATCAGCAAAAATCTTCCCTTTGCAGACTTAAGGAGGCAAAGCTGCAAAGCTTTCATCTGAAAAGAGACCCTCAAGGTGCCCAGCTCATTCAGGGCCAACTAGAAAAGAGTTTCCTGAAGTTCTTCCATCCACGTAGTCAGAGGCCTCTGTAGGTATGATCAAAGGGGGCCCAGCTATTGCTTAAGATGGCAGCAGACTTTGACATTATCCATGTGGTACTGGTATTATAGGCATACAGAATTCCACAGTTGTGGGGCCAGGGAGGAGTTCATCCAGATTTTTAAAAAAAGGCCTGGGAGGTTAGGCAGTGTGCCCTCTAAGAGGGAAGTGCAAAAAACTATAAGAGGGAAGTCAAAAATGCAATGGACACCCCAGAAAGTTGTAGAGCCAAGAACATGGAATGTCTGCTGAGGAAGGGCTCAGGCAATGAGCAGAGCAAGGCCAAGTACAAGACCATGGGTGATGTGGCAGGTGATGTGGTAAGGGCAGGGCTGGCCTTTGGAATCCACATTTCCTCATCATAACTTGCCTTGAGTGCTGGTCACTGAAGTATAGGATTTAATATTTGCTTTGCTTGGTTTTGGTCTTGCTCTAGTGCAATCCCTTTCTATTCTCTTGTTCTTCCCTTTTGGAATGGGAATGTTGATCTTGTACCATTGTATGTTAGAAGTGTTTAACTTTTTTATTTTTACAGGGGATCACAGCTAAGAGTTACCTTGAGTTACAGAAGAGACTTTGGGACTTGGACTTTTCAGCAATGCTGGAACTGTTAAAACTTTGGTGACAGAGATGGACTAAATGCATTTCGCATAAAGAGATACATACAACTTGCTCAGAGGGACACTGCTCCATGTGGCTGGATATTGTACACAGGAGACCACCAAAGTCAATGGATTTCCACATTTGGATCAGTAACTTCACTGACATATCACCATGGCAACCATGTTGACTTCCCAGAAGGGGATATGTGGTCCCAACCACTTGGGGCATGGGTGGCAAGGGCTACCTTCTGAATCCCTATGATACCAGAGAAGTGCACAGGCTGGCGTGGATAGAGACACAGCCTCCTTTCCATGGGGTTTATACTCCAGCAGGGTGAGAGGTGCTAGAAGTGCCGAGTACCCTCCCCAGCATGGGTCCATCCTAAAAAACAAACCCAGACCCAGTTCTTGGCAGTCAATACCCACTTTGTGTTTCTTAACTGAGAAAATGCAGAAGGATAAATGAATGAATTCAGGCACTAATGTCAATTATGACATTAAAAGTTGAAATATTGAGGATCAGCTACATCTCCTAAGGACTGGGAAGATTCTACAAGTGAGCACACTGAAGGAATGTCAGTAATTGTGGCTACAGAAGACTTCCTTCCATCAGAGAGTGGAGAAAAACAAGATGTAGTTCAAAATAGCTTTTAAAAGACAGGCAGTGTTGGTGGTAAGGTTAGCAAACCCTTATTCAAGGCTTAAAAACTATCTTTTACCCCTCATGGGATCCTGCCTCACACTCCGGCCCAGGCAAACTTGCCCTGGGCTTTGGATGTTAATTTAAACAACCTTTGCTGAAGGCAATGGTTGCTGGTACTGAAATAGAAAAGCAGACCTACACCCGGCTCAGCCCATGGCAGCTTTGCAGTTCCTTAAGGTCCCAGATGTGACACAAAAGCAGGAAGGGGACAGAGCCACTGGGTGGCCCAGACAAAGGTGGAAAGCTGAGTCTCAGATATGTTTTGTTTTTGTTTTTTTGGTCTAACCCCTCAGAGTGCTTTCTGAAAAATTTGAATTAGATGCTAACGTTTAACAACTAGGGAGCTCTTATATAAAAATCTACATTTCTGTTTCCTCTTAAAAATTCACATGCCATTCCACATGGCAGCAGTTTCAGAGCCAGGAAGTAGGTGACCCTTTCAAGGGGCTCCCCTGCCCTGGGGACACCAGTCCCTCCATGCCCACCCCACAGACTGGGCTTCAAGCCTGACTTTACATAACCCATAGTTCTGCGGGTGAAGAAACAGCAGCCCAGGCAAGCATCACCTGGGATCAGTGAGTCTGACGAGGACAAGCCAGAGCAAAGCTACCCACCCACACTGTGTGACTCCTTCTCCTACCCTCTTACCCCCACAGTCTGGATGGGTGTTGTGTCTTCCACAGGGGACAGCAGGTCCCACTGTTAGTAGGGGCTCACCTTCAGATGTGGCCTCAGGGAAGAGGGCCAGGACAAGCCACCCTGTCACCAGCACAGCCTCGAAGAGTGTATCCTGCCTCTGCCTCGCCATAGCTCCCATCCTGACAGAGCGTGCCCTAAAATCAAGCACAGGCGTCAGACAGACAGGGACACACACACACACACGCACATGCACACGCACACGCACACGCACACACACACACACACACACACACACACAAATACGACAAAGACAGTGTACTCCAGCCAGTCCAGAGCACAGTCATCAGGTGCCACAATTCAGGCTGGGCAGATCAGGGCAGGCAAACCCTGCCAGCATCCTGCCTATGTCCTGCGGCTCCAAGACAGCAGGTAACTGAGGTCCCTCCCCTGCAGAATGAATAAAGCTTTCTCCTAAAAAACAAGAACAGAAACAGCCCCACTGAACACGAGCCGGGAATGAAATACCACCCATTTGCTGTGTGATCTCAGCTGATTCGTTTCAGCTTTCTGGGCCTTAGAATCCCAAAGTGTGAAAGGAGGATGTGGACTGATTTCTAATCTCTCCATTACTGGCCTCTGTTTTGAAAGCTGGTCCTGGAGAACAATACTGAAAGCCTAAATACAAATGCCCACATAGTATAAATCATCTTATTATTGCCTGCCCAAGAAGGTCATACAAAGATGGCAAATCGTCACCCCTCAATATTCACTTTACGCTCCTTCTTTGGTGACAGATCCCTTGGTTTTTATTTGGGCACATGGCCCCCGAGGGTAAAGCCTACTCTCCTCAGTCTCTCTGTTATGGGTGTAGAATTAGGTTCTACGAATATAGAGGCAGGACTGGAAAGTGTGTGAATTCCAGAAAATGCCCTTACAGGAAGGGTGGGAAGATTTCATTTCCTCCTTCCTCCTTCTTGCTGGCTGAAATGCAGATATGATAGCTTAATTTTTCAGCAACAATCTTGGGCCACATAGTAGGACCCATGAACTGAGAATGGCCCTAGAAGATGGACTTACTTTTACATTTCAAGAGAATAAAAATTCTATTTCATTAAACTTCCATTTTATAAAAGCCACTGCTAGTTTGCTCTTTTTCTCATATAGAAGGTGAACATGGGACTCACAGAAGCTGCCCTTAAACCAGCTCAATGGCAAATCTGATTGCCCTGACTTCTCCTGCACAGCGAGGCTCTGTGTGCATTCAGTGAGCTGGGGCGAGCAAGAGGGGTCCCAGAGGAGCTCCCTGGCCCCTCCTGGTTCCCCACGGGTGCATGGGGAAGGGCGAGAGGCAGTGTCCTCTTACGGGCGCCTCTTACAGGCCTGCCTTGGACCGATTCGCAGAACAACAGGCCCTTTCTAGTGCTTCAGCTGGTAGTGGGGTCACAAGGTGTGGCATTGGGGGATGGCTCCTCTCCCACCCCAAGAAGATGGCTCCATTTCATGCTCTTTGCAGTGGAAAATAGGGGACAGCAGGAGCAGGGGTGCTCCGTGGTCCTGGGACAAAGCCAGAGCGCAACTCTTCTCAGTCTCCAAAGGTAGTTTGTCCTCTGCTGCCAAGGACCCTGCACTGTCCTTGGGGGCTGCTCTGCAGAGAATGGATGATACCTGCGCAGTGCAGGGACTGGAGTGTGGCCCCATGCAGTGACTCCTGTGAGCCATACACTCTGTGGGCCTCACCCTTCCCGCGGACAGAGTGGGGAGGGTGGTAACCTCATCACAGGTCATTTCAAAAGCAAAAGGATAAAGATGCCCTTTTGGGGTAGATGTAAGAACAACTGTGTATAAGGGAAATAACCCTTAATCTCTTTCCCCTAACATGAGTGAGGCTCCTTCTGGGTCACACAGCCAGCTGTCTCAGCTGTGGGAGGCAGAGGTGGCCCTGCCCAGGATGATACTGGTGTCGGTGACAGTGCTTTCCTGCCTGTGACGGCTCCCCGTGCCTGAGCACATGTGCCCAAAGTGCATGCTTTGTAAGTGAATCCTGGATGGTTGCCCAAGTCCTCCTGGGACTTGTCTGGCAAGGGAGGGTGGCCTTCTCCACTGGTCGCTGAGAGCTTCCTGGTCGGGGAGTTGGGCTCAGCTTCTCAGCTGGCAAGATGCTGTTGAAACAGGTCCGGCTGCGGCGGTCCTCAGGGCAGCGTGCTGTCACGATGTCAGAGCCTGTGCAGGACACTAGGAGATGCAGACTTGGAGATGCAGTCACGATGAAGGGTACGGTAAATGAGTGTGGCAGACTCAGTGTGAAGGGAAATGCAGACATCCAACGGCCGACACTTAGGGTCACTCCACGTGTCATCCCAGGAGCCAGCCCAAGTTTCCCAGAAGCTGTGCACTCCCAAGTCCATTGTTGGGGCAGACCCCAGCCACCCAGGCCCAAGGTAATGAGACAGAATCAGGAGTGCAGGTCTTGCTTCCTGGCCTCTGGCTTCTCCTCCACTCCCAGGTACCGGGGCTCTGCTCATCCCGCAGGGAGCCAGCTGTAGCTTAGAGTCCCCACTGGTCACCTGCAGAGGAAGAGACGAGATGATGATCAGAGTGGTGCAGGGACCCCCAGAGAGGCCCACACAACAGCACCCATGTGAGCCCACCTGAGACATCTAGGCCTGGGGCAGGAACTCCCAGCACCTGCTCTCAAGGCCAGCACTTAGCAGGTTCAGACAGGATGGGATACACCAGAAAAAGATGAGGCTGGGCTGGAGCTTAGGTATTTGGAGATAATTCAGGGGTGAGAGGAGAGGAACTGCCCTTGATTACCCACGTAAATGCAGGAGGGAAACCAAGGCAGAATCAGCCCACACCGTATGTGGCGGCAGCAGACCCCTGAACCTCAGCCCCAGCCGTGCTGCTCTCAGAAGCCACCTGAGCTCCCTAACCTCACACTGTACAACCTGTGAACCCAGAAAGATGAGTCTTAGTCTCCAGGATTGTGTGAAGAGCACACGGAGATGGTGGGGTCAGTGCTCGTGCAGCAGCGGCTCCTGTCATGGAGAACACTCAGGAGAGGGGCCTGGGACACAGAATCTGAGGACCTGGTTTTAAGCTCCACTTTGGGCTCTCCCCAGCTGTGTGTCCTATGGGCCACTCGACCTCTCTAGGTCTCAGTCTCCTCGTCATTAACATGGGCTCAGTAACACTACTCACAACCAGGAGTCACTACTGCGAGGGTCTAGGGAAATGCTAGCTCAAAACCCACGAGCTCATGGGCTCTGGTCTCCGGATTCCATCCTGATGGAGTTGTGGGGAAAAACTCAGCTTCAAATTCTGCCCTGCGACTTACATGTTATGGTGGGGGGGTGCAGGTACACAAGGAGCGGTGCTCCAGAATAGCTTGAAGAAGAGCCCAAACCTATGACCAGACGTCATTCAGACCCTCACCCTCCACAGTGCTCCGCAGAGTTCAGGGAAGATATCTGATCTGAGTCTGATGCATCTGGACACTGCCCTTAAGTTCATACCTGTGGGTACAAGCCACTTTTCTCCGGCTGAGAGGTGGCGGTCTTTGGAACCAAGCACACCCTTGGGAATTGCATTGGGTGCAGTCTGATTTACTCTTACCTGCCAAATATGGTTGTTTATCTTTTCTGGGCTGAATTGTGCGCCCCCAAACTCCCTGCTGAAGCCTTAGTTACCCAGGACCTGAGGCTGAGACTATTCAGAAATAGGGACTTCAAAGAAGTAATGAAGGTAAAATGAGATCGTATGGCTGGGCCCTAACCCAGTGTGATGTTGTCCCCCTGGAGCTGATGTCCAGGGGGCGCACAGTACTTTCTTAGGACAGCCCAAAGCCAAGGCTTGGATGGCTTGGATGTGTTTCCCAAGGCCCATGTGTTAACGGTGTGGTGCACTAGGAGGTGGCAGGGCCTTGCAGGGGTGGGGCCTGTTGCAAGATCTTAGGTCACAGGAGCTGTGTCCTTGAAGGAGACTGTGGGATATCATCTCCCACCATACCCAGAAGTGAGCATCTCTTCCTCCTCCATGCGCTCCTGCCACAGTGTGCTACTTCATCACAGACCCAAAGCAACCCACCATAGATTGAAACCCCTGAGACTGAGCCCAAACAAACCCTTTCTCTGCATCAGTTGCCCAGATGGGGAAAAGGGGACACAAGGTGTTGTACTTGCTTAAGGCTGAATCGTTAACAGGCGGAAAAGTCCAGAGCCTGCTTCTCCAGAATCATACTTCTAATTCCTGATGATTAAACTACTTGCAATACAACCTCAGGGTCTTAGAATACAGGGGCTGATAGGAGTATGAGAAACCCAGCTAGTGTGCCTCAAAACTGTATGCACAGCCTCACCCTTGCCATCTCTTACCCAGCCTACTGGGAAGAGCATGTTTGATCTGAGCCATTTCTCTGTCTCTTGTAGACAAACGGTGATTGTGAAATCAAGCTGGGGTGTGGCGGAGGAAAGATAGGCAAAAACCTCCTCAGCTCTCTTGTGGTCACAGAGGCCTAGTGTCACTCCCTTTCATGAGACCAGGGTTTCTTTCTAGTGAAAGCTTTAAATCCATGCCACAGCTCCTGGAAGCCCAATGGGGCTGCTGAGATTTTCTTCCCCCAGAAGGGAAAGTCCCTGAACCAATGGCAGTATAGAAACCTGTAACGTGCTCGGCCAGAGCCCACCTCCTCTCCTGTCAGGCAGGGTAATGAACCACATCCATTCCCTCTGTCTGCCTATTGTCCCTCCCTGGCCCAGCTCTCCTCGTGGGGAACATGAGCTAAGTCAGCTTAACTAAAAGGGGATAAAATTAAAATTCAGTCCTCACTTGCATGAGGTACATTCTGGGGGATTCAGGTGTGGTACATGACCACCACCTCAGGCAGCAGATCTGGGTGACACTGCCACTGGTCTCCCGGTCCTGAAGCAGCACCCCAGGGAGAAGGAGGAGGGAGACAGGGCAGCACCAGCCCACTTCCGCGGTCACAGGTAGACCTGGGAGGAGGCCCAGCCCTGGGGAGGGCCCAGCCACTGTGCCAGCCTTGTCTCACAGCGGCTGCCACTGACAGGATATATGGGGACACCAGGGATAAAGACACTGCTTGCTCCTCAGAGAGAAGCACTTGGAAAATGTTTCTGCAAACCGAGCATCTCCCAGGCCTCAGCGGGAGCCACCTGCTCCAGCAAAAGCAGCTCCTTCAACCTGAGAGACTCCAGCCCAGACCTCTTTCATGGTTGCAAAGCCCTGGACACAGTCTGAAGCCTGAGGTCTTCCCCAGAAACTATGCTCTATCTCCTAAAGGCAAGGCAACTTGTAGTGTAGTCTCAGGCTCACCGCAGTGGGACTGGTAGGAAGAAGACACCTACACAGGCCACGCAGCCAGCACATCAGCCCCCTGGGGAAATTGTTAAAATGCAGATTTTCACTCGCAGGTCTGGGCTGGGGCCCAGTGCTATGTCTCCAGCAAGAGCTCCTGTTCTGAGCAGCCAGGAACACTTTCAACCCACCTTCCACAGTCCGTGCACCCAAAGACTGCAGCCCACAGAGCCGGAGACAGTTGCTCCTGCTGACCATGAACAAGGATGTGGAAACCTGAACTGTATCGGAGAGGACAGTTACTGTCTGACTCCAAAGTAGGAGACATGTGCCATTTTCTGCATCACCCTGCTTGCTTGGGAGGAAGGAGAGAGAGGGGAAATTGGTCCAACGCTTGCTGCTTCTGCTTCGTTTGAGAAACCACCTGAGGTCAGAGTTTGGGTAGTAAACACATGCCTCGGGAACCCTCTCTCTATTCATGATTATCTTTCCCCCAAATATACCTCCTTTGATATGGGGAATTCCCACAGAAGCTGCCTGCAGGGCCAGAGAAGAGATGCTGCAGGGCTGGGTAATAACAAAAATCCCCATCACGGACCTGTCCCCGTGCCCAAGCGTAGTACAGGGAATCCTGTCCAGTCCTGCTTATCACCAGGTCCAAATCCCTTATCCCACCACCGGATCAGCCATGGGGGCTGATGGCTTCAGAGCCTTTGCCAACACAGCTGGGGGAGGTGGCTCTGAAACCATCCTTCCTCCTACCCATCGAGCACCCTGGCCTTGTCAGCCACTGGGGCTATGCTGGTGCTGCGGAAAAGGAAGGGAAGACTTCATTCAAGGACCCCAGCCCATCGCTAGGCTCCAAGCCAGCCATGGATTTCCTAACAACTCGCTAGAGGTTACGCCCAGAAGTAAGAAATTCAGCCCCAGGATGGACCTAAGCTTCCTTTGTTCAGAGCAGTGCCACCCTGCAGAGTGGCCACTGGGCACATGAGCTAAGTCAGCTTAACTAAAAGGAGATATTCAATTCAGTCCTCACTT